ATTTAATATTTTGTTCCAGGATTTTTGTACTTATCATAGTTTGTCATAACCTGTGTTCATGTAACATTATACCACTTAACATAAAGAATATTACGAAAGCCTGTTTGCATTTCCCTCTTCCGTCCTTTGTGCTATTTTAGTGATACGTACATTTCACTTCTACATCTGTGGCGAACTCCATTACACGTTGTTATCATATTTACATAGTCAGTTATATTTTATAGAAATTAAAAGATGAGGAAACAAAGGAGAAACGCTTTCACTTGCCTGCAAACCTGTTACACCTAGTGACCCTCATTTCCTTTGTATAGACCCCAGTTTCCATCTGTTTTATTTTTCTTCAGCTCTAAAAACTTCCTTTGTCATTAGCTCCACCGGAGGTCGGTCTGCTGGAGAGGAATTTGCTCAGCTTCTGCCTGAAAAAAGATTTCTGCTTCATTTTGGTGGGACACCTCCCTGGCTATGGAAGTCTAGGTTGAGATTTTTTTCTCCTCACGCCTTTAAAGATGTCATTTGGCTTGTGCGTGCGTTATTTCTAACTGGGGATCTTCCACTCCTTCTCATATGTGGTGTCCTGTCTACAATGTGTCCTTTTCCTGCCTGCTTAAACATTTTTCTCCTTACAATTGATTTCTAGCACTTTTATTATTTATTTAAAGTATTTTTTCTAATGCTTATTTACTTGAGAGAGAGAGAGAGAGAGAGCAGAGTGCAAGCAGGGGAGGGGGACAGAGAGAGAGAAAGAGAGGGAGACACAGAATCCAAAGCAGGTTCCAGGCTCCGAGCTGTCAGCACAGAGCCTGACGCGGGGCTTGAACCCATGAACCGCGAGGTCATCACCCGAACCAGAGTTGGACGCTCAATTGACCGAGCCACCCAGGCGCCCCTATTTGTAACACTTTTAGTGGTGATATACTTTGATGTGGTTTTCTTTGTCTATATATTTGTGTATAGTGAGCTTAGATCCGCGTGTTTACAGTTTGAATCAAATATGGAAAAGTTTCTGCTGCTCTTTCTTCAACTTACGTTTTCTGTTCTTCTTCTGTGACTCCAATTGCATTATGTTTGACCATTTCATGTTGTCCCGTTGTTCACTGATTCTCTGTTCCTCATTTCTTTTGTTGTCTCTCTTCTTCATGGAAGATAGTTTTTATTGCTAGATTTTCAAATTGGTCTTTGCCTCTGCATTATATAGTCTGCTCTTAAACCCGGTGAGTGAATTTTTCTCTTCAGATATTATGTCTTTCAACTGGTACTTTTCAGTATTCTACTTGGTTCCGCATAGCTTCTTTCTTTTTTTCTCATCATATTTGTGCTTTCCTTTAAATCTTTTCTATTTATAACCATCTTAAAGTCTCTGCCCCTTCCTCTCTTTCATTTCTATATCTGTTTCTTTCTTTTTTTTTTTTTTAAATTTTTTTTTTCAACGTTTTTTATTTATTTTTGGGACAGAGAGAGACAGAGCATGAACGGGGGAGGGGCAGAGAGAGAGGGAGACACAGAATCGGAAACAGGCTCCAGGCTGCGAGCCATCAGCCCAGAGCCTGACGCGGCGCTCGAACTCACGGACCGCGAGATCGTGACCTGGCTGAAGTCGGACGCTTAACCGAGTGCGCCACCCAGGCGCCCCTGTTTCTTTTTTAAAAAAATTGTTTTAATGTTTATTTATTTTTTGAGACAGAGACAGAGCGTGAACGGGGGAGGGTCACAGAGAGAGGGAGACGTAGAAACCGAAGCAGGCTCCAGGCCCTGAGCGGTCAGCACAGCGCCTGACGCGGGGCTCGAACTCACGGACCGCGAGATCGTGACCCGAGCCGAAGTCGGACGCTTCACCGACTGAGCCATCCAGGCGCCCCTCTATATCTGTTTCTATTGATTGATTTTTTTTTTCCTCCTATTTGTAGGTCACATTTTCCTGCTCCTTCCCATGTCTAGTCATTTTTTATTGGGTACCAGACATTTTGATTCTTACAGTTTTGTATGTCTGGATTTTGCTGTCTTCCTTTTAAAGCTTTAAACTTTGTTTTGTATAGGCAGTTAAGTGAATCAGCTGGATCTTTTCAAGGCTTATTTCTCGGTTTTATTAAGATGGCCCTGAAGTAGTCTTACTCTAGAGCTAGTTAAGCCCGACTACTAGGGCTTTGCTCTTCTGGTGTTTCTACAGAATGCCCTGGATGTTCAATAAGGTCACCTCACTCTGTCTGGTTAGAACCTGAATATCTCTGTGCCCTACACGTGTGCAGTTTCATATTCAGCATCAGACTTGAGGCGATCTCTTTCAGTATTTCTGGATCTCTTTCTCTGCTTAATGTGCTCTCTGCTGGTGCTCCCAAATTCCAGCTGCCCCAGCCTCCCCAGTTCTGATAGCTGTCTCCTCCCCTTAGTGAGATCACAGTGCTCTACTTGGTTCCTCCCTTCCCGCTCAGCGGTCTGGGAAATGCCTCCATTTCAAAAGCTGGGATCGTTAAAGGGTGACCTTGTTTGTTTCTCTACTTTTGAAGGATCACGCTGTTATGATGTCTTTTCTCAAATGACTGAAAACATTGTTTTACATATTGTGTCCAGCTTCCTTCTTGTTTGGTGCGGGGAGGGCATTTCTAATAGTATTGATTTCATCATAGCCAGAATTGGAAGTCCTTCTTCCACATATTGATTGATGTATTTTATATATTATGTATGAAACATAGGAATTCATTTTCATTTTACAATTTCCAAGAGTAATATAAATGTGCAAAATAAAAGACGCTAGTTACCTCACCTCTCCCGTCTCATTTTATGTCACTCAACAGAGTAACCATTTTTGGGAGTTTGATGTGAATCCTTGCTGTTTTCGTTTATATACTTGTATACATTTATATATGCATGTCCACACAAATTAGATACATGCGTATTTTTAAACATAAAGAAATTCTGCAAGCTTTGTTTTGCAACGTACTTTTTTTTACGTGATAACATGTTAGAGCTCTTACATATCAATTTGAATCCGGTTTTGTTTTTTAACATTAGCCATATAATCTACAGAAGGGCTTTCTTCTAATTAATCACTCTGCTTTTCAGACATTGAGGTTTTCCTTTCTAACTTTTTGCTCTTATAAACAGTATCTTTTAATAATACTGTCCAGCAACTTTTCCGTGGGTAAGTAGACATAGAAATAGACGAAATCACAGAGTTTGCAAATGGTTTGTCTGTTTGTAAATTGCCTTCCTAAGCAGTTTTTACGTATTTACATTACTCCTAACTACTAGGAGCCAGGCTGTTGGAAGAGATGGTTGCTTCTAGATCTAGGACAGAAAATGTAAGAGATAAGTGTAGAATATCTTATCACAGCAGAAAGCAAGGGAGGTAAGAAAGATTACTGTGATCATGTCACGAGATCCAGAATCCGGTTTGAAGGGACTACCATGGGTCAAGAGAAGGGACAATTTATCGCTCTCCCTCCCCCCACACCAAAACCCTGGTGTGATTGGAAAACATCAGATATGCTTAACAGCCAAGAATCATGAAGATACAGACCAAACTGCCCCCAAACCACATTGCTTACCTTGGAAGGGAGCGATAAATCCTTATTCTGAGTATTGCTAAGAAGAAGAATCGAGTATTTATCTTCTTCCTATACGAACCTTCTTTCAAAGCAACCAGATAATTAATGAGGGGAATTTCTTTATGGAAGCCTACTAATACATGCAGAAGGAATAATAGAATCAGACTACCAAAGTTACAGCCTTTATGAATTGCAAAACTAGCCCTAGGAAATGATCCTCAGTGGCTACTAATATTGTCAGGTAAAACATGAAGAGGATGAGTGGATGTAGATGACCACACCTGACCCCACCGAGTATATGTCACACTGCGGAAGGAGAGACAGCCAGTTGTTAGCACCTGATGTGACGTGACAGGTAGTACACAGCTTTTCAAATATTGAACCCGTGCAAGGCCCTCAGTCTAACTACCAGTTTATAGGTCATACGGGAGATAGAGGAATTTATTAAATGACACCTCAGGGATGCTATCAGCCAAGTCTTGAATTCTAGAAATTCTACAAGACAAATAATCCAGTTTCTTCAATAAATAATAGTCAAGGATAAGAAGGATGGGAGATTGTTAGAGATTAGAGGAGAATGATAGGAAATATAAACCAAATATAATATGCAGACCTTGTTTGGATCCTGACTTGAGCAAACCCAAGTGAAATTTTAAAATGAAAATGAATTTCTATGTTACATATCTAATATACAAAATACAGTTTATACATTACAGTTGGGTTTGCTCAAGTTGGAATAGTTAGAATCTAACAATGACTGGATTTTAGATGATATCCTAGAATTGTTAATGTTTTATGTGTAATACTAGTATCGTGTTCATGTTAAAAATAGCCCTTCTCTCTCAGAGGCCAAATGAAATCTTTCCCAGTGAAGTGATAAAAATCTCTGCACTTGCTTTTAAATAATCCTATAAGGGGTTAAAAGGGGAGGGCTGGTAGCAGTTATTTATCTTGATGAGCCCAGGGGGTTCATGGTAGTATTTTTTCTACATTTGAGTGTATGAAATTTGCCGTCGTGAATTATTTCATTTTATCTTTTAATTTTTTGGAAGTCGTCTCTATGCCCAACCCGGCGCTCCAACCCATGACCCCGAGATCAAGAGTCGCGTGCTCTGCTGACTAAGCCAGCCAGGTGTCCCGTGAATTTTTTAAATTGAAAAATGAACTTAGCTTTAGCAGACCGACTGAAGAGAACTTCACAGATTATCAAAATAAGTGAGGAGCTTCCAGATTTTTTCACCCTAAATATTTGGAGTACGTACGTCCACAACCTACACCTGCAGAAATGGTGTAGAACGTATCCAACGTAATTGCTTCGGTTGATTTGGACCCACCGTGCACTTACCTTGAAGCTCCTAGGTTTTAACACCCCAGAGAAATCCTTGAGGCAAATCTAACGCCGTGGCTGTGTGTTCGTTGTATCTGCTTCTTACGGTGCTCCTAATATTTGTTTTCCAGGTACAGCAGGTCCAGACCGTACAGCAGGTACAGCATGTGTACCCAGCCCAGGTGCAGTATGTGGAAGGAAGCGATACTGTCTATACCAATGGAGCAATGTAAGTGTGTGTGGGGGAGTATTTTCAATTCTCCCGCTTGGTTAGAGAGAAATGGTACTCTTTGACACATCCCACTATTCCCAAATGGTTCCCTTGTTTTCACAGTTTTTTTTTTTTTTTTTTACCAGAACAGAGTTATTGAGATTAGACTGATGTTTAGAGATTAGTCTGTGTCTGTTAAGAATGTCTGTTGATTTTCCTTCTCCCTTCATCTCAGTGGAATATTTCAAATTATGAAAAGTGTTAGGCCTTTGAATGGTTTTCAATAGGATGACAAAACTGTTTACTCCTTGTTGGTGATTTCCGTATCTTCTTACTACCTTGTAAAACCTATACTTGTTGTTTTTATAAGTAAGGTGGATTTGTGTATGTTTTTGTCCGTAAGCCAATACACAACGAGGACCTTAGTTTTTTGGGGGCATTTATTAAACTCCATAAGAATACCTGATACTCAAATCTGTTTTTCCTGTCTGAACTTGTCCTTGCCCCCTTCCTGTCCGCCCCCTCCTCCCCCTCGAACTCATCACCTTTGCAGCAACAATAATGTAAATTGGTAAATTTATACCAATTGTGTTTTTCAGCCACTTGGATTAAGATTCAAGATGTTATAGGTAAAGAGACTAAGAACTATTACAGGTCACCAGTATTGTTTTCATTTACCACTTGAGTGTTTATCTGGAATCTGTTGAATCTCTGCATGTCCCTGAAATGAATTCAAGTTCTTTCATTCTCTTCTGCCCGCCTCCCTTCTATGTTGGTGTGCCCCCAGTTGAAAACCTATGCTTTCTTTATTCTTGCTGCACCTCCTGGTTTTGTGGGTTCCCAGGACATCAACCTATAACCTCCACAAGGGCAGGGATTTTTGTCCCTCTCTTCTTTTTTTTTTTCCCACCGCAATAAATTGAACACCAGAAGAGTGCATGACGTGTGGCGGGAGTTCAGTTAATGTTACCTCTTGCTATTGTAACAAAACAACTTAGAACCCTAGTTTAACTCTGTACGAGTTTTATAGTCGTGACTAAGTCATGACTTTTTATTCTTCTTCCCTGGAAGGTGGGAGGATGGTAATCTCACCCTACTTGGCGTGGGGATTTGAGGAAATACAGTTACAGCAACTAACACAAGGCCTGGTAGACAATAGCCAATAGAAAACTGAAAGCTCTTCACTGATCTTGACTGATTTCTCTGTTCTCATCGCTTTTAGCCACATTCCCGCTGCCTTAACCCCTCCATTACCTATGAAATAAAATTCAGCTCTCCCCCTTGGCATTCACCCCATTCCTTCGTGTCCAGCTTCCTGTCCCACCTGTCCTGGGAACAACCAGCTTTGTGCATCTTTCCCCAGATACTACCCTTACTAGCCTGTTTCTGGACGTGCGGTTTTCTTTGCCTTCTATCCAGTCCCCCAACGCGGAGCCTCGTGTGATCTTTATCCACTGATTCATCATCTCCCCCGCCTTGTGACACGGACCCTCACTCTCCACTACAGTTAGTTTGTCCTCTCCCTTTAGGGTATGGACAACACTGTACCCCGACTTTCACTTCCGGCACCGAGCCGGGAAGAAATCTTTCCGAATGGGAACTGTTGTCATTTTGTTGTTTTCTCTGCATCTGTTGAGGTGATTGGCACCTAATAAAGGGTCCGTGAATTTCTCTGGTCCAGCGAATCTGTAACTCTTTACATATTGTAGACACTGGCTGTTTCTTACCTGTTTGTTGTGTGGGACCAGGGCCTCCTGGATGGAGCCTGCTTTTAGAATCTCTACCCTACACCCACAGGACTGTTGGCATTTTCACCAAAGAAATAGATACACCTGCGTCTATTGGACTTGTATTCTACCAGGGAAAATGTTAGGGGTTTCTAGACACTGCTGGAGGTCACTCAGTTGTATTGTCATTTCATTCGTGCCTGTGGTTTATCTGTCACGAGAGCCCCAGAGTAAAGGCATCCTAGGCAAAGCCTTAACAAACCACCTCCCCTGCAGTGGAGGGCTAAGTTACCACTCTACTGTCTTATTTCGGAGCATTTTATCATACATATATTACAGCATTCTGTCAGTGGAGAATCCCAGCAAATCCGACAAATAGAAGTCTGAAAATATCAGGGCTTTTATTTTCGTCAGGTCATAAGAAGTCCAAAGGTAGCATATTGTGCAGATCATGAGCACGACACGGTGCAAATACAAAGGCTTCTTGGAGAAAACCTTACAAGCTGACAGATAGCAGAGGGAGCATAACTGGACCCGGCTACACCATGGGAATTGCTCTAGTAGATGTCTGGCCTCGCAGAGTGAGGTATTTCCAGGGAGAAGGGGTAGTGAGTATGTAGTAGGGACAGATGGCTTTCTTAGTGGGGATTGGTGCCTGTGAAACACTCTGCCATCAGCCTCGTCTTGCAACATGATTAACTCAGATCTGCTGAGCCAACCTAGAGGTAAGCTACCAAAAGACCACAGGAGATGATCCTCCAGAAACATCCAGAACTGTGCTTCCTTTAGTCTATTGCTGACATCAGTTTCGCAGCAATCAGGGCCACAGCAGAATATCAGGGCCACAATTTTCTGGTATGTCTGTGAGATGTCTGCTTCGGTTGCGATCATCATATTTACATTTCAGACAGGAAAAAGAGGATGTGTGTGTGTGTGTGTGTGTGTGTGTGTGTGTGTGTGTGTGTGTGTGTGTATTTATATTTTTATATGTGTATATACATCACGCACAAGTACATGGAGGCTTTCCCAGAAACGTCCAGCTCTCTTTTGCTTCTGTCCCTTGCCTTATATCTTAATCGTGTCACAAAGTGGTGGTTAGCTGCAAGGGAGTCTGGGAAGACTGGCCTGTAGCTTCCGTGTGTATGGCAGAAGGCAGCAGGGGAAAAGGGGCAATTGGAATGGGTATTGAGACGGTGTCTAACACAGTTTTTCATCACTGGTCCAAGGTAAGGCGGAGAGATTACTGGTATGTGGCTTCGTGAAAGTTACACAACCCGCCTCACTGTTTTCATCTATGAAATGCAGATAGTTCTTTTTTCAAAAGCGCTTCGTGTCGCATTGTTATAAATAGGAAACAGTAAACTTCAGTTATTGCTGTAACATTAAGCACTGTGGTTATTCTTTTTATGTTTTCCACTCGTGTTTTTGACCCTGAATTCTGCCTCTTGCCTTGTACATTTTTAAAACTACCCCACCACTGCCGTTAGGGTCATCCACACCGTAGGTAGATGCGAGATCGGTGAATTCATTCATTCACAGACCCTTGGAAAAACAACATGTCTAAAGTTGACTTCCTAAAACTACAAAGCCCATTTAGATACAGAAATGATTCCAAGTAAATACCTCGTGTCAACATGAATTTTCTATGGCTCACAGACTCAGTTGGTTAGATCATGACTAATGAGGTCTGGGTCGTGAGTTCATTTGCCACAAAGTCCCATTAGCTTCCACCCGGTCTGTGTGGGCTCAGATTGTATCCGCATCTCCGGCCAGTCACATCACAGAGTGCATGAACCCTTGCTGTAGAGAGAGAAGATGCATCTTTAAAAATCCTCCCGTTAAAATTTCAATTTCAGTGCAATTTTTGACCAAGATCCTGTAGCATCACTTTCATATTTACTAAAGACACATTGTCTCGTCAGGAATTCTACTCAAAATTTTAGTAGCTAGGGGACTATGAATATTTATTTCTCAAATATAACAAACTTTTTTTTTTCTCAGCTTAAGCTATTTCAGTCTTTCCATTACTTTGTATGCTGTTATTTGAGTATGTACAGTGTTTGTCTCTAAAGTTCATTTTAGAGTCTTGGTATTCCCTCTTTTATCTGCTACACTTGCGTGCATGTTAGGAAAGAGTCCCCCGTATTCTTCCGTTCTACGACACTGAATTAATAGCTAGGTAGCGTTTGACCCCCAACTTGGGCCCCAGTCAGATTCCTATGCCTAGTTTCAGCCAAGGACTTGAGACCACGTTCCAGTGCTGGCTGTTAGAGAATAGTTTTTTATGAAAGGAGGAGGCAGCTTAATTTGCCTTTCCTTCTAATAGTTTTCCCATGAATATTTTTCCAAAGCCTGGATCATAGTCTTGTCTTTTTGTACGGATTCTTAGAATTTACGATCGCTAATAATTTAGAACACTGTAATTAACCCGGCTGGAGAACATTACATACCATGCGGACACGGCCCAGTGCAATTGCTGTTTCTTCACATAGCTGATAAATCCATTTTTTTTTTAAATGGAATGATTGTTTTTTCTCTCCCTACTCTCTTTTTTGACTCCTGTCCCCCCCCCCCCCCCCACCAATGACTCCTTCATCGTGTTAGTCAAAATGGAAATAAAGACATCATACTATATCATGGCCAAGTTAAGAGTCTTTTTTGAAAAATGTTTTTAATTTTCAAGGATTTTCATGTATCACCCTCTCTTTGAAGCTCGTCTACTGTTTAGAGAAGATCAGTGTTCTGAAATGACAGTGCCTTTATTGTATGCATATCTGTTGCAGTAAGAAAAGACTGGAGGAGGCCTTCTCTTAATCTTCTTGTTTAGATTATAGATTTCTCATCAACCCCGATACAGAATTTTATAAACTGTGTTTCACAGAATGTTATTCCTATAAAGTGTTCCGTGCTTTTCATAAGCAGGAAAGCACTGCAAAGGCCTTTCTTTGGAGAACTCTAAATTTCTTTCTTTCTTTTTTTTTTTATTTTTAAATTTTTTTTTTGAGAACTCTAAATTTTTTTTTGAGAACTCTAAATTTCTTTCTTTTCTTTTTGAGAACTCTAAATTTCTTTCTTTCTTTCTTTCTTTCTTTCTTTCTTTCTTTCTTTCTTTCTTTCTTTTAGGAACTCTAAATTTCTATTAGTCTTCTGAAGGCTCTGAGAAGTCCTCTGAGAAGAAAGACAGTGTATTAAAAACTGAACCTCAGAATTCTTTCACCTTGAATAACATGCAGTCATATCACACGGTATACTTTGAGAGGTTGTACATTAATATATTGACACTGAGCAGAT